CCCGCCCCGGCCGGGTTCCGCTCAGGAAATGGCCCGGGATGAGGTCCCCAGCTGCTTCCCAGCCGGGGCAGCGCTTCCTCCGCCGCCCCGGCTCCTCCTCGCGCGCCGCCCGGAGCGCCTTTGTCCCGCCAGCGAGGCTCTTCGCGAGGGGCCGCTGACGACGGCCCTCGGAGGACCGTGTCCGCGCTCCGCGGACTTCTCAACTTTTTCCTGGATTTGAGAGCGTGGGAGGTAGGGCGGGGGCGAGGCGCACGCCGGCCGCGGGGTCAGGCTGCGCGGCCGGGAGGGGAGCGGGGGTCCCCGCCGGGGGCCGCGCCCTGCGCCCCGGCCGCCACCTGGGCGCGCAGGTTCCCGGGGACCGCCGCTCCGGGAGGCTGCTGGCGGCCGGCAGCTCCGAGCCACGCCTCCGGCTCCGGGGCGCCGCTGCAGCCCCGGGCTTTTCTAGGGTTCAGGGGTTTTGTCAGGGAGGCAGCGGGGAGCTGACCTGGATTTCGCGGCACGTGCAGCGCGCAGGTCGGGTCCTTTTCGGGACCGAGAGTAGCGTGTGCGTGTGTCTTGTGTGTAGGATCCGGAGGAGGAGACGGGGGGCTGGGCGGGGGGTGCTTTGCATTTGTTCCCGCTAACTCCTTCCACTTCCTTCCTTCTTCCAACTCGGGCCGTCAGCACCTCCTCGCCGCCCTCCGGGGATTCCAGCCCGGAATCCCCGTCTCGCTCAGAGCCCGGTGAGCCTGTGTGAGCTGTCTTTTCCCAGCCATCGAAGTCGGGCTCTGCACGCCCTGCCTCGGTGTGTGCTGCTCCGCCTTGGGTGAGTTTCCTGAGCCTATCGGAGAAGCCTCCTTCGAAATTTCCGGGCTCACCGGTGTTCTGTTCAGCGCGTTCAGATGCTCCTCTGCCAGGATCTCGGCGTGTCGGCTCCGGCTGGCCCCCTGCCTGCTGAGAGCTCGGAACGCGCCAGGCCAGGTGCCAGGCGGGGCTCGCCCTTTTCTCTTCTCATCTGTACACTGTCCGCTCCGTAGCCCGGGATGCGTTTCTCTGCTCCTTCTCCCGACCTTTCAGAGGCTGCCCTGCCACTCGGAGCCTTCTGTATCTGCAGCTGCCTTCGCTTTTGTAAATTTGAACATGTTGTAAGGCTGCCCATCTGCTCCTGTTCTATTGTGATGATCACTGGGGATTAAATTATTCTTGAAATGAAACAGCAATTCGGTTTTGAATTTTAAATCAAAGATCATTGAGCACTAAATTCAGCGACCTGGTTTTGTTACTGTTTTACTTTTCAACTTTCCTATAGGCAGTCCCTTTGGTACTTCAAGCCAACTCCAAGCATAATGAAAAATACCCAGTTATATGTATTTTACTTTAGGGTGCTAATGCCAGAACTAGTTTTTGGCTAGAAATATAGAAACTTTTTTTTTTTTTTGCTTTACTTGTCAAAGAGACAAAAATGAAAATGCTCATTTATCAGCTTTTAAAATAGAGCCCTAACAGAAATGTATAAATTACCTGTGGGACTTTACCAGACTGCAGAACTCTCCTTAAAAGTTATTTATTTTCTTTAAATACTGATGGCCTTTTTATTTACTCAAAAGATATTTTATCCAGTACCTACTATGTTCCAGGACTGTTGGATGCAGCCGTTCACAGCAGATCCTGGTGTGCTCACACTGTACATTCTTAACTAAGCAGAATGTTTCGTTTCCTGTATGTTAATGGTTTACATTCAGATAGGCCAGAAAGCATCCTCAGAGATCTCAGGTATGTGGCATAAAATGATACTTTTGGTAAAGTGATTTTATTTGAAACTCTGTGGCCATATATGTATGACCACAAAGCCTAAGAAAAAAGGGAACTCTCATTTAAGCTCTTAAAAAAAGATAAGTTATCCAAATCACTGAAAAGTTACATGCACAAGAAAGAAGGAGGGCTATATATATTAGGGGGAAAAAAGAGTATTTAAATGTTTATTTCAGACATTTGGAACAAAAGGAAATATCAGCTTAATCTAAATATGTTTTGAAGAGGCACAATGTTCATCAAAATCAGGTATTCTTGAGTTTTTCTTGGGTCAGTGATCCCTTTAAGAATCTCATCAAAGCTATGGAGTCTCTTTCTCCCGAACATGTACCTATTCAACCTGCGTATAAAAACGGTAAATTTCAAGGGAATCAACAGATTTCCTGAAGCTGGATCTGTGGACGTTGAAAGACCTTGAGTTGGGAACATCTGCTTTTTGACTAGGACTTAATTTTGCAGTTAATTAAAATCTGCTTTTTGGATTCAAATATAGGTAACTTTAATACTTTACTATAAAAGTATACTCATTTACATTTATGCAAAGGAATATCCAATATCAAATAGGCGATGTTCATATTACATAGATCCATGTCGCGTACAACAGCATACATGTAAGGATTCACTCATTCTTTTTTGGAGTCTAAAACAAGATGTTATGATTCAGACAGAAGAGTAAACATAACCTTGGAATTGATGCTGAGTAATAGTAAAAAGAACAGCGCTTCTTGCTTGAAATGTACCCATGTTTGGGGCTGAGAGGCAGCTAGCTGCTGGACTCATGACATTCCTGTATTTGAAGATGAAATGATGAAATTATGTAGTTAAGTGGGGACATTTAAATAATCACTCCAGCTAGGGCATTAGGCCTGAAAGAAGGTAAATGTTAGCACTCAGGGTTTTGTATTTTCTTTCATGCTAGCTTCAGGGTATAATCAGATCAGTGGACATAGAGGCATTACCTAAATTTCTAATCAATGAAAACTATTTTGGTGGTGGGAATAGGTGAGTAGGAAGATGGCTAGCCAAACAACCCTTACCCATAGATAATACCCTAAAGGCAAAATGGGTAGTGAGAATTCTAGCCAAAAATTAAAAAGTGTGGGAGTATTTGCAAAAGTAGTTCTTAGTGGAGTGATACTAAGGCACACTATACTTACTAAATTTGTTTTTATGTCCCAATGATTTTTATCTAGTTGGCTCTGATGAAACTATTCAGAACCAATGGAAAATCAGGAGAGAAGTGTTTCAAAGGAAAAGAGGCCAACATATATGAGAGATTATAAGTATATTTATGGACTAGGTCTAGATGATGAAAGGTTTTTGGCTTAGGTGCAGGGCTGAACATATGTACCTGCAGTTGATGTCAAGATTAATCTCAAAATCTTTCTCATTCAGGTAACAGCTAAAGCAATTTTAATGAAGCTTTGAATACTAAATTCTAAACATGCAGCTGATAGCTTATTATGGAAGCAGTTCTAAAGTTTGGATGAAAGCAGGCCTGTACTTGTTCAAACCTGCAGCGTTCTTTGCGTGGTTCCCATTGATTAGGGACGTCAGTACTGGACCATGACTGTTTTTAAAGAGCTTACTTGGGTTCTTCAGGATATAAATGTAGACTTCTACATATTTATGATATAAAATTGAATATGAAACGATTGAACATGTGGGATTTAAAAGTTGCAAATGGATATTAACCTCTTTTGTTAGGAATAGTGATCAATAATATCCATAATTCAAAATATCTGTAGATAATAAATGCTAATATTCATAAAGTTGGTATGAACATGAGAACTGGCTGTGACGTATACATCTTCAGTATATTTTTTTAGTAGGGCAGGAAGTGCTGTTAAGGAGAAACCTAATTTTGTGGTAGCTTCCCTTTCCATTTCTTCCTGAATGCAGTGTCTCCATGGCTTCTGTCCAAATTTTTAATAGTGTGCTTGTGATATGTTATGTTCCAAAGATTTCAAAGTAACAATAATAAAAGAAATATGTAAGACACATCTAAGAAATTATTTGAAAGTCTGAAAACATCAAGTAAGGAAAAAGTCAAGGAAATCTTGTAAATCAAAGAAATAATATAATATACCACATATTTGAAATTTGTTTCAGTTGCCATTTTGAGCTACATTAAAATGGTTGAAAATATTGAGCTCTCGACATTGTTGTTATATTTTTATGGGGAGCGGAGTGCATTGCAGGTATACAATATACAGATTGGATATTCATTCTGGAAACTCCTAATTTCCACAGAAGACCTGCGAAGAAGCGAGTGGGTCAGGTGCCTTAAATTAGAGATTACTTGAAACATTCTCCTCAGTAGAGATGATTGAAGAAGAGAGGGCTTTTCATGAGCTGCTGTTTGTAGAAAGTGAGGTGGCATTCCTTCATTTGCCTACACAGTATCTTCACTCAGCGTTGTGTGTGTAGGAAATTGTAGAGCAGGCTAAGACTCGCTATGCTTTCAAAGTCACAGCCAAGTTTTAGAAGTTGTTACAGGAATCTTTGAAGAGTAAGGGTAACTGTAAGGTTAAATTTTTATAAAGTAATGAATACCTTTACTTTGAGGTATTAATTGCCCAGCTCTTGCACTTGAAACTATTTTAAAGTATATTTAAGCAATCACTGTTTGAATCAGTGAGAAATATATTCATTCCTCTTCTTAAGATCACAGAATGAATAGGCATGGGCATTAAACAATGCCTTTCAGTTTAATCACTCTGCCTGGATGCTGAGAAACGTTACTATATAAAACTTAAAAACCTGAAGTGTGAATAGAAACATGATAATTGACAGACTATTGTTATATAGTGTGGTAAAGTGAATAGAGCATTAGAATAGTAATCACATGATTTGACTGGTCTCAGCTGGTGATTTGGGGCCTCAGTTTCTTTATATTAAAAGAGGTCTGAACTAGGTTTTTCTTTCCAAAGGCCCTTTACTAGGCGTTCTTGTCTGCATTGCAGAACCATTGGACCAGTCAGCTAGTTTAGGATAAAGGCCATTAATTTGATTATTTTTTTCTCTTAAAGAATTCCCCTCCTAGCAATATGTTCTTTGTAGATAATAGAATTACGTATTACCTAGCCATAGGGCTCTTTATTTTTGCTCAACTCCTTCCCTTCCTATGGAAGACAGCTGAGGCTGGAGAAGTAGGCGCTATCAATTGGTATTGCATGGCAGCAATCTGCTCTTTGAAGATTTAAGCCAACCAGTACATTTTACATTTTAGTGAATTTAATCTACAACGTGTATATAAAGTGTTGGGATTGCTTATTGTTAAAATCTTTTAGAACTGTTCGTTCTGACAGTCAATAAGATTGCAACTAAAAAAAACCCCAAAACCCAACAGATTCTTAAGTTTGGAGGACCTTCTTAAAGGTCACGTCAACTGAGAAACTATGAATGGGTCCTGAGAGACACGCACACGCTAAAGCGATTACTTCACTGAAAGTGTGACGGGACTCCACAGCCTGGCAGGGACGTTTTTTGCCATGCTTAAAACATTTCGCTAACACCAGTTTGGAGTTGTCTGGCTGACAACAGCAATCTGTCCTTTTGGTATCATCTCCCCGCAGCCCTCCCACACCTGCACGCGTTCTTCCGCGCCGTGCGTGCACGACCCGTCGCGAGGCTGCGGCTACTTCAGTGTCCGCTTAACAAGCTCGCTGGAGACGAGCTGTGAGCGGTGGTTGCTGCCTGTAGATGCCATTTCCTCCTGCTCTAGGCCGCGTTAGGGAGTGGCTCTCCCCGGACTTCCAATGTTTTCGTGCTCGGGCACTGGTATTCACAGGGCTCCAGTGCATTGTTTTCTTCCAGGCAGCCTCGGTGAGCGCTTCAGCTTAGACTTTTTTTTTTTTTGCATTCTGTCGTCTTGGGCTGCGTGTCCTCTCTTGTTTCTGCGCTCTCTCCACGCCCTTCCCAGTTTCCTGTTAGCTAAAGGGATCGCTCTTTCTGAACGAAAAGTTCCCAGAGCGGAGCGGAGCCTCCCGGAAAACGCTCTCCTCTTCCGTGTGCGCCGGATGGGGGTGGGGGTGGGCCAGAAGCCGAACGCCAAGGCTGGGCTCGCAGGCAGGACGCGAACCCCAGGCCGGGCGGGGGAGGTACGGGTCGTCGGGGCAAGGCGGGGGGGTGGTCGTGAGACAGGCCCGGGCCGCGCTCCTCTGTCTCGGGGGCAGAGGGCACTTTATTGGGGGACCTGTGCGGCGAGGCCCGAGCTCTGGAGCGATTCCGGGTCCGAGAGGTGGCGGGGGGGGGCACCCAAGGGAGTCGGGAGGAGACGCCAAGCTCCCTTTCCACCCCAGGGGCCCTCTTGCCTCTGCCGGGCCTGCGAGGGTTGGCTGCGGAGGTATCGCGACTCCCTCGCGCTCGCGTCCGTCCTGGGGACCCCGGACCCTCGGGGCTGGGGGGTTGTCCAGTTCTCTGTCACCCCATCTTTTCCCCCCGCGCTGGCCGTAGTCTGGGTCAGGACCCCTATACCACCCCGAGGTGTGCGCGCAGGGGTCCCAGGCGGGCCGGGGTCCGCGTCCATGGTGACGCACCGCGTTCGCTGCTGGGGGGCGCCCGATCCCCGAGACCCTGCCGGCGGGGGGCGCCGGGGGAGCGGAAGATGGCGGCGGCGGCCGGGCGCGGGGTTCCCGGCGCGGCCCGGGCGGAGCCCACCCCCTGACGGCCGCCGCCGCCCCCGCCGGGCGGTGCTGTGTCCCTGCAGGAGCCCGAGAGGATGGCTGGGGCCGGCGGCCAGCACCACCCACCGGGGGCCGCAGGAGGAGCGGCCGCAGGGGCCGGCGCCGCGGCCACCCCCGCCGCCGCGTCGGCGGGACCGGGAGAGGACTCGTCTGACAGCGAAGGGGAGCAGGAAGGACCCCAGAAACTGATCCGCAAGGTGTCCACGTCGGGGCAGATCCGGACCAAGGTGAGGCGGGCCGGCCGGGAGCGTGGCAGGCGGGAGGCGGCGGGACCGGGAGCTGAGATTGGGCGCCCGGGGCGCGGGGAGCGCGCCCGGCGGTCCCGGGAGCGTGGGGAGCCGGGCCGGGGGTGGGGCCGGGAAGGGATCCCCGGGCCACGGGTCACGGGCCACGCGCGCGAGGAGAGCTCGGCCCGCAGAGGCGGCGAGAAGCGAGCCAGCGGCTGGGCGGGAGCGTGGGAAAAAGCTGGGGCGCTTTTGAGCGTCCCCACTCCGGGAGCCTGCAAGGAGCGGCTCGTGTTGTGTCCTCCCTGCACCGGTGGGTGGGTCGAGTGCGTTGCGCGGGAGAGGCGTGCTGGTCGACCAGCCAGAGCGACGACGCCCCGCCGCCTTCCCTTCCCGGGACAGCAGCCTGAGGGGTGGGCGGGGGCAGGTCACACCTGCTGCCCATAGGGAGGCAGAAGCCAGGGGTGGGGGCACCGCCAGCGCTGAACGATGCTCGCGGTTATCTGCGCCCTGCACCGCGCCAAGGGCGGGCCAGGCTTCCCCAGCGTTTCGCTAAGCACCGATTTCAGATCTTCCACACCCAGGGTTATTTTTAACAATGAAAAGGAATAATCTCTTTCTACTTCATGGAGATTAGCCTGCTGTTTTACCCTTGTTTATATAGCAGGTACTGTTGACCTGTGAAGGCTCCCAAGTTTGTTTTCATTTGATGGTGAACAATACGTAGCAAATGCTTACCACTGGAAGATTAAGTGTATTCTAATTTTCATCACCGTTTAAAAACCGTCACACGGAACGTCAGTTATCAGTGGGAGACTTGAGTGAGGAATTTGAAAAGGGTAACCAATGCAGTCATTGGATTTGTGTGCTCTCTTTAAATATTGCAAAAGTTAATTTATCCCATACCTGTGCTTTATGAGAATTTGTTTTCTAAGCTCAGTAGACCCCCTATATAAAAACAGAACTTTTATTATGTGCCTATGGACTCATGTTTATATTGGCCTGCCTCCTTATTTTCTGAAATAAAGGTGTAAGCGCACAGAGCTGTGAACAAGATTAGTTAGTAAAAGTCAAGAATTGTTTCAGTCGGTTTTTTTTTTTTTAGGAGAACATCTTGTAACTCCTTTTAACAGTGGCATTTTTGAATTTTATAGACTTCATGATAAATTAAGGATATGAGTTTAATGTGCTTTTAGAAGATTAAGGCAAAACAAGATAGGAACTTTCCAGACAGTGCCCTTAAGAGTTGACATCTTAACTTTTAAAAAAGTTCGTAAAACTTAATAATGGGCAAAAAGATATTTAAAAATGGTGTATTTTATATATTTATATGAAATGGTTAAAAATCCCCTGCATACTTATATCAGGATTAACCAGTAAATTTAATGCTGTTTGAGAGAAAATTTAGAGATGGCTCTAATTTGAATTGAGTAAAGTCAAACAATAAATTTGTTGGGAGTAACTTGAACATTTGTAGATGTCATGAACTCATGATAGTAGCTAAGATGATACTCTTTAAATTTGATATTATCTATGGTTGGAGCAAAGCATGTTTATTGAGACTAAGTAAATTCAAAAAGCACATTTAGTGTTAGTTTTCCATTTAACTTTCTAATGAAAACATTGAACACATACATTTTGCCATTTAATGGAGACCATTACATGAAATGTTCCTTAACTTTCCCAAGATGTATTTAATTTCAGAAATTCTGCATTTTACATTAGCTTGTATAAGTGCATTTAAGTTCATTAGCATTTTCGTATGGTGCCAACCTGAGATCAGGGCCTAAAACGGCAGAGACCACCGAGCCTCCCTGCCTGCCCCCAGCACCAGGCCAGACTGTTCACATATAGTATAAATTTCATCAATTAAATCTGCTTAGCACCGATACTGATTCTTAGGGAAGAGGACGAGGGCAGTGAGAGAATTCATAGAATGAGAACTGTGAAATTTAACATTGGTTCCCATTTTTCAGTTATGATCCAGGTAAGAGTTAAGGAAAAACATCTTTAAAGAAAGACAGGTACTCACTTGATCCCCTCCATAAATATGTACAATGGGAGAGCCTGGAGAAGAGGCCCCAGGACTAGCCCAGGGCCTCGTGGTTTTCAAGACAGTGGTAGCAGTTCTGGCTCCTACATCCTGAAGACACACGGTGGGACCACCAGGTCTGACAGGTTGTGATTACTAGTGGCATCTCTGATCCTGGTGGAGTAGCAGCCTGGGATGGCGTGTGTGGCTACACACAGATACACATGCTTATATGTGTATGTGGATATATGCTCTTTATAGAGTATTTATCCACAGGTACACAGAGGGTGCACAGCAGAGTACGTTACACATGGAGATCAAAACTATTTCTTTTCTTTTTGTTTTTTTTTTTTTTGTAAGATTTTATTGGGGAATTGGGGAAGGGAACAGCGTTGGAGAATTGGGGAAGGGGAACATTGTATTTTTCCAGGACCCATCAGCTCCAAGTCAAGTTATTGTCTTTCAAGTTATTGTCCTTTAATCTTAGTTGTGGAGGGCGCAAGCTCAGCTCCTAGTCCAGTCGCTGCTTTCAATCTAGTTGCAAGGGGTGGGGGTGGGGGTGGGGGGTATGGCATAGCCCACCATCCCATGTGAGAGTCAAACCGGCAACCTTGTTGTTAAGAGCACGCACTGTCACCAGCTGAGCCATCCGGCTGCCGGTTGGCAGCTCAGCAGCAGCTCACCCCAGGCGCAGCTCACTGGCCCTTGTGGGAATCGAACCGGTGACGCTGTTGCTTAGAGCTTGCACACTAACCAACTGCGCCACCAGGCTGGCCACAAAAATATTTCTTGACTACATATTACATACTTTCCTATAATGCTTTATATATATGAATGTTATTGTTGAAATAGTTTGTTTTGCTTTCCTTTAAGATCCTTAGGATCACAAAGCTGTTTGGTATCCAGTTTAGCTTTGGAGTGAAAGAAGGCCTTTAATTTAAGTAATTACCTTATTTGAAGTGTCCTGTATTGTAAATACTGGTTAGTATTTTAATTAATTTGAATGTCAGTAGAGAAAGTTAAATGTGGAATTTGGAAAGTATCTCAACTTTTCTTAATTGAAAAAGTAATGCATGCATATTAATGCACAAGACATTCAAATGGTGTGAGAGTATGTGGGAGGGTGTCCAGTGAAAAGGAATCTCCCTCTCACCCCAGACCATCTAGTCTCTGTTGACATTTTCTTGGGTGCTTCTGGAACATTTTTATGCACATACACATATTTCTTCAAAAAATGCTAATGGGAGTATTCTGTACACATGCTGTGTCTTGTTTGTTTGGAAATATAATATGGAGGTCATTTCGTTAGTGGGACATGTACATCTCATTCTTTCTAACGAGGGCAGAGTATACATTATATTAGGTTGAACTAAGCGCAGTTGCTATATCAGTATGTCAAAATGGTCGAAAGTAGAATGGTGGTTGCCAGGGGCTGGGAGGTGGGGAAAACGGGGAGGTATTGGCCAAAGGGTACAAACTTTGAGTTACAAGATGAGTAAGTTCTCGGGATCTAATCTACAGCATGTTGACTGTAGTTAATAATACTGTGTTGTCGGGCCAGCCGAGTGGTGTGATGGTTAAGAACTGGCTTGGGATAACAGAGGGCCCCGGTTCGGATCCCACATATGAGGGCCAGTGACACTGCCCTCCAAAAAAAAAAATAATAATAATAATACTGTGTTGTCTACTTGAAATTTGCTAATAGATCTTAAGCATTTTCACACACACACAAAAGGTAACTGTGAAATGATGCATATGTTAATTTAATTGTGGTAATCATTTGACAGCGTATATGTATCAAATTATCACCTTGTATACTTTATATTATAATTTTCTTTATCAATTATATCTCAATAAAACTTGAAAAAATTGTGGAAAATGTAAGTTTCATGTGGTTCAACCAAACATGGTATGTCATCATTTAATTAACCAGTTCTCTATGGAAGGAAATATGGATTACTGTAGGACAACACTAAACTTGGGTTTTTACAGTGGATGTGCTGACTTTTTAAGTAAAGAATAAGACTGGCATGCTTTTAAAATTAGCGTGGTTTAATTAAATCCTTATGTATGTTCTAGTGCCGTCCTCAAATCCCCTTATTGTATACTCTCTTCATTTTCCAATTTTCCCCTGGTTCCTTTGTCCTTGGAGTCAGTTTTTATCTTTCTCTGTTTTTCACTTTATTCCTTTCACTGTATCACCTTAGTGAAATTCCAGGTTGTCTCATCTGAAATCTCATCCGGGCGCTAAACACTGGATCGTTTTATGGCTGCCTCTGTTTCCCCAAAGGAAAAAAAAAATCACTTGTATGCAAAAGTGGAAATACTGCTGATGTGGGGCAGCCAAAGGGAGCTGCCACTTGTGATCTTTCTCTCTTTACCCTTGCTGTTACTCCCAAAGTCTTAATCAGTCCTGTCTTAAGGAAGAGGTTGACTTTACGTTCAGATGTACTGTTGTAGAGAATTTGACAGGTATTTCCTGAGAATGAGACATCCTGAAACAACACTAATACAAACTCAGACCACCTTGATTTTGAACATGAATGTGAAGGAGGCTTTGTTTGTTTTTGTTCACCCATGAATACTGTAGTCTTTCCTCTTGCAGGGAATGGCTGGAGGAACCTTGGTCGGGTTTCTCCACTAGGAATGTTCACCTGTCATAAGCTAAAGGGTTATTAACAAATGGGAACCATCTCAGTGACTTTTTTTTTTAAAGATTTTACTGGGGAATTGGAGAGGGGAACAGTGTTGGGGAATTGGGGAAGGGGACATTGTGGTTTTCCAGGACCCATCAGCTCCAAGTCAAGTTGTTGTCCTTCAATCTTAGTTGTGGAGGGTGCAAGCTCAGCTTCAAGTCTAGTGACCACTTTCAATCTAGTTGCGGTGGGGGGGGGGCCGAGCCCACCATCCCATGTGGGAGTCAAACCGGCAACCTTGTTGCACACTGAGCCATCTGGCAGCCCATCGGCAG